TTGCATATTCCTGAAAAGCCATTTACACTGGTGCTTCTATTTTTCCTCTGGTCTTTGAGTACCTTCAGCATTTGGGCTGTCAGGACTGTATCTTGCATGCTCCAGGAGCAGCATCCAAGGTGAGATTCAGTTTGGAAACTATGAATCTTACTATTCTTAGCCCAGAAATGTAATTGCTTTAACAAGCCCTGCACCCACCCACACACTCAGTGAAAAGGTTTGAGGGACAGGAATGCTTTCCATCCCCTCCAATTGCAAAATCCCAAAGGCTTAGAGAGGGAAAGAAGAACAGGTAAGGTAAACAGATACTCAGACAGTATCATCCTGAGGAAGGCTACTCCACATCCTGCATCATACCTCCACCCAGAACAACCATCAGAAGTCACCATGTTCCACCTCTCTGGGAAACCCAGAGACCTTGCAGTCTCAGATCCAAAAAATGAACTCTCCAGCTGAGGAACAAGACACTAGTTCTCATGATCTGAATGAAGAAGTGATTGTGCAGATAATGTAGAGGACTTCCAAACAAAAAAGAAGACTCTGGCCCAGTTCTGAAAACCCAGCACTGTGAGGTCTGTAGATAAGGCCTGGCATAGGGCATTGTACTGTAAAAGCACAAAGAAATCTCGTGACAACAAGGGGCCAGTTACAGTAACAAACCTTTCCTTATCAGAAAGAGGTCCACAGAAAGATTGATTACAGCACATACCGAGTCCAGGGAATACCAAGTGTTCAGGTTTTTTTGGTTCATTCTGAGGTCGAGTGAAAACAGACCTAAGGCACCCCATAGTATTCTAGGACATGACTTGTAATCCACCCTCCAATGAATCAGTCATTGCAATAAGGGAAACCTGCCCTAATCCTTTGGAGGTGAGTTGCCATTATAGCCAGCACTCTGGGAAAGGCTAAATAAGACAGACCTCATGTCAATAAATGGTTCTGTAAGTAAATTATATAATCAAACCAAAACGGCTGCTAAAAAGTTTCCCTTGCCCTTTTTTAATTTTATTATGTGACTCCACATATGATTCTCCATCACTTGCACTACCACCTACTTCACTATAAGAGGACTTAAATGAAAAAAAAAAAAAAATGCTGTCTTTTACAGACTTAAACTCACCTGTATCTTTACTTGCTTAGATATATTTATTAGACACTGATGTTTACGTCTAGTTTAGCTATCACTGTTACTTTTTGCATGTGAAAACCCATAATATAATAGGGTGAAAGTCAAACCATATATCACTGAGTTTCGACTGCATGTAAAAGGGAAGGTTGACTATTGCTCCACAGTTCAAATGCAATTTAAGAGCTATCCATAACCCCTCCTAATACATATCTCCAAATCCAACACCATCACCATTATCAAAACAGTTTGGGGACTAGCTTAGAAATGTTATTCAGCTTCTTAGTATCTGAAATCCTGAACTCCTCTTTGGAAATACATATTTTGAATTTTTAAAAAGTTGAGTTTTGTATGCCATAGGAATAAAAATCTAAGTGACTAAGGCGCATGCTTTTCAGTGCCAGTCAGGAAGGCAGAAAATAATGTCAGGGTCACATCCTCCAGCAAAAAGCTATCAAGCCTCTTGAAAAGAAGATGTGGCAGATTTATTTACTTTTTGGGCAAATGGAACAGAGAAACCAGAAGCTGAGTACGACAGAGTCTGTATGGGCACTTACATCAGAGAGGAAAGAGAAGGAACGCAAATGCTTTGGTTAACATTCAGATTGTCATTGCTGCTCTGTCTCAAAGGGAAAAAGTGCCTACACTAGTGGAGAGCTCAGCAAGGGAGCAATACTCTATGCAGCTCACAACCATAATTATCAGTTTATGTCTGAGATCAGCTTGTGCTAAGCATTCTTGAATAGAAGGGTTTTTCAAACAGTCTATGTGACACAGTGCTTCATCAACTAGAAATGGCAATTTGTCCATCCTTGGCTATTTGGGGTTTGAATCTTGTACCTACAGAAACTACTCTGTAACTTTGTGATTGACAGAGGAAAAAAAGCTCTCTATGTTCTACCATAGAGTGTATGCAAAAGTAAAGCATATTTATTTTTAGTATTTGGCTCTAAATGGAAGCGTGAGGTTAAAAATAACTTCAGGAAAGAGGTTAAAAAAAGTTTAGGGTGCAAAACAGTCTTAAAGCAGCAAACTCAGGTCTCCACTGAGAACCACCCCTGCCCTGGGTAATAAGAGCCAACCAATAACCAACTCTCTACTCACCCCTACAGCAATACATGACAACACAGGACATATGTCTGATCCACACAGATCTTTCAAAGAAAATCTAGCATCAGGCAGACACACACTTATAGACATGAAAACCAACAGCTTAACGGGGCTTCAAAATGACACATATGTGAAACATCACCTTCGAGTTACACCGTATGCACAGCACATCTTTAAATACTGATATGACAATTGAGCAGTCAGGGCTTTGTGAGATATTTCAGATTGGTGGTGTAGCCCTTTTCCCCTCTTAGCTTCTTTTACCACTCTGGCCATGTGGTCCCCTCCGAGTGCCAGTGAGGAGGTGAGGGTGTATTTGCCTTCATTTTATGCTCATCTCGCCATGCTGGAAGCTGTAGCTCCTTTTGTTTTCAAAGGTGGGACAAGGAAAGGGCATGCATCACAAAAAACTCTGCCAGGAAACATCATGGTGACAACAGCTATCATTCCGGAAAAAGCAAGCTTTTCCTTTCTTGGAAACAAATACCACAAAAAGTGTTCTTGCTATCCATCACGTACTCTTGCTTAAAGCAAACTACTGGTATAAACGAGCCTTGGAATATCTGACACATCTTGACCCACAATGCAACATCCCTCCCCCAGGAAACAATGCAAGAAACTCTTTTACCACAAAGAAGTCACCATCACCTTGTTGACTGCATAACTCAATAGTGATCGATCTCTGACAAGAGTAACACCCATGTGTTATAAACATCAGCAGAAACTTGAGAAACCGGATCCTCCTGTATATTTCCATTTCCCCTACACTCAGTATGGTATTTGCTATATGTTTCAGTGAAGACCTGTAATACCATTTTAGAGAGGATACTGAGACTTTAGGAATTGATTTTTTTCCAATTTGGCACAAAACACAAAACGTTTTGAAATCCTGTACAAAACAAAGGATTGTTCTCCACCTAACTCCAGGATAGTCCAATTTGTGAGAATCCATGAGCAGAGTTCAACAGCCAATGCTACATTTCCTGGAGCAGTGAGAGCTACCAGAGCTACATGAGGTCTACTCAATCACAGCCTTCCCTTGCCCACGGGACCCCCTGATGCATAATGATTGCTCAGGTACCGCAGGTACATTCTCCATTCCTCTGCCATCAATACACAGGGGCTGTTCCGGGTTGTGGTTTGGGTTTGGCTTTTATTTGTAAAGGCAAGGCCCTCTCAGTCATCAGAACTAGAAGGGAAGAGAGGCTAATCTGGGGTGAGAAAGTAGAGGAAAGAAAGAATGTAACATTCACAGACTATTTCCTGTCACTGTCTAGGCTTGTTACCGAGGTAATTCCTAAGCAAACTTCACAGACAAGCAAATGGAAGAAAGAAACTACTTTTGACAAATAATCTAAATGCACATACCATGCACCTTTTTATTCCTTCCAAACAGAACTCTAAGTATTGTTTCCAACTGAGCAGAAGACCTCAAGCCATCAAGAAAAATTTCCAAAACAGCAGTACAGTATAATCTTTTATGAAAATCAACAAATGCAAAACAATGCAACACTTCTTCAAATACTTGGAGTTCCCAAACTCTCTGGATGAAATCAAAACTTCTTTTATTCTCTAAAGTGACATTATCAGTGTTCTGCTAACCCTGTGTTCCTTACATAGCTATACTTGCTTTCACCAACAGTCCAGTTTTATACCAGCTAGAGAATCTTTTCCACACATGCACCTCTCTTTGTCAAATAAAACTTATTGCTGATTCCACCCAATTCTAGAGGATAGTACAGGAGGATAAGGAAAAAGTAACTTCAGACCTCTACTGAAGAAACAACATTTATGTACAATACCTATAAATCTGGAATTATTTCAATATATACAAGGAAAAAAATTGTTCTAGTTAATAAGTATTCTAATCAGTAGTTAATTGTGTGTGCATTTAGAAATATAAACCCATTATATGACAATCTATATATTCTCATGTGTTACATACATCTACGCATATATTTTACATACTTGCTTCATCAGCAGAGCAGGATACTCAGAATGCCATTATGGAAAATATTTGTAACAGATCTTTTCTCCAGACCTGCTCCTTCAACTCTTCTTGGCACTGAAGGCTGGAAAACTTTGTCTTGATACTGGTTAAAGTTTGCATGAATAGTAAACCAGAAAATTCAATTCAAGTTCAACTCTGATTTAGAAACAAGTTATGGTCAGTTTTTTGTGTATCAAACCAGAATTTGTATTACAGAGAGAGGACTAATATTTCCATGTTGATTTTTGCTAAATTGAAGTCATGCTCAAAAACTGAACATGCACAGAATCTACTGAAAGTGACAGACTGCACTGTCACTGGAAAACCTTTATTTTTTAAGAAGAGATTAACAAAGATAATGTTCTTAGACAACACTATCTGAGCACATACTTATTACAGTGTTTGTCCAAACTCAAAATTTGGCCCATAACCTTAATAGCATGGCATCTAAGTGTAGCTTAACACTGTCTTGAAATAAAACTAGAGTAATACATCATATAGAGAATAACTTAAATATTCTTTGTTTTAATAACAAAGAATATCATATAATATCATTTAATAACAAAGCATATCCACCTCAACATATAAATAAAAATAAATAAAAAGAATATCCACCTCAACCTATAAACATGTCTCTTTTTGCAGCAGAAGAAAACAAACACACTTATATGCAATTTCCAATATTCACTCGTCACCAAACTGAAAAGAAAAAGGTGTTTCATGTGCACGATCATACCAGTGGAAAAATTGTAACTTAATATTCAGGTTACTTACAGATTTGTTGTCCAGCCTGCAAGATCTCCACTGTCCATGATAAGGTGATTTCCATCCAAGAGCCCAGGGGGGCTACTAGAGAAGGCAGGTGTTGGAGACTGGGAAGAAAGAGAATCTATGCTCCCAGTTGGGGTGTCTTCTCTGGGAGAGCTGTGACTGTCGACTAAAAGAGAGAGCACAAGTCAGAAGGATACTCAAAGAATCTTATCATGAGCCAAAGCGTCTGCTTTGGTGATAATCTTACTGTCCCATCTTCACCAGATATTTTGGAGGACAAGCAATCTCCCAGTATTTTCCCAAAACGTATCACTGCACAATTTCCCCCATTTTTATCACCAGGCTATCTTCACAACACAATGTATTTCCAGTGCTCTCTGCAGCATGTGTTTTCTGTGAATGAAATGCTAAATTTTGGGGGGATATTTTTAGACAAAGGCATCACTTCAGATAAGAAAATAGTTTAGGCTATACACATTTGCTTGTCTCTCTAAAAAAACAGTCTCTAAAGATAACATAATACCCATTTGAGGATTGCTCTCAAGTACTACAAGCACAATCTTACCAAACATGAAAAATTGACATTTAGAAAGGTCAGAATAAGCAGGAGATTTCTAACAAATACACAATATCCAGAATGTTACACCTTTTTAATGGTGTTACTTTTCAGGGAAGTCATCATATTTTGATCTACTATTCATTTTCACAGGCTACTCTTAGAATATCACTATTCAGATATGATTGATTGAGAAAACATTAAAGGAACACCATTACTATCCCAAGGACAGTAAGATAAAGTTACCAGTGTGTCACAGCACTCACTGCAAACCATGCTGACACATCTAGGCAAACTGCACATTCTCCACTGAAAGACTAACCTTCACCCTCACAGCTTTTCCCTTCCAAACCTTCATTTAAATATAAGTTCTAAAGCAGGTGTACAAAATGAGGATGTTTGCAAACAATAATGTACCCAGGACAGAGAAGCTAGCAGTCTCAAATGGGGCCTGTGGTTGCTTTCAAAATATTAATATTTAACTGTTAAAAGGGTCATTTCCAGACACCCTTTAGGGTTACCTGCATCCTTTCCTCTGGCCATCCTAGCTCATGACCATGGCCCACAGGCCTGCCAAATGACATCATCACAAAAGTCTAGAGTGGATTAGATATCATTAAAGCTACAGTCTTTGTAGAAGAGTTCTGCTCTCTTAGGGACAAAAGCTTTGGGGAAAAAAAATGAACCACCAAGTCCTAATACATCAAAATAATATGATCACAAGCTGTTAAAGTATTGTGCTTGCTTCACAACCTGTATCTCCTATGTACAGTAATATACAAGATTAAGTCCTGTACAACGTTACTTTCCAATTCTAAATAAATTAGCATTTGCTCAATGAAAAATTGAGCTTAATTCTACTCCATCAAGGTAAGCAGTATTTTTGCATTGATTTCTTTATTTTTTTTTATTAATTAAAAGTGCAACAGCAAAAAGACATGGACAATGAAAAGCCACCCTCACTGGATAAAAATCCCTCTCACAACTTTATTACTGTCTCAACCAGCTCAATTCCTTCTGCTTCAAAGGCAGAAAATTAGTAAAGTACTTGCCTGCTTCCCCAGTCATCTCGAACTCACCCCCTCCCAGCAGTTCTCAGAGAACAACTTCCCTGGAGAGTAAAATGACATACAACTAAAAACAGTGAAATGATAAAAGTCATCATCTGGAAATTTCTCCCTAAGCAGCTGCTAATTTAAGGATCTAAATTAGCCCATAGTAACAAAGTGTGATCAGCTCCGAGGAGGAGAATATTAACCTGGGAAAGTGAGTCACTCTCACCGTGGCCCAATCCTGCTCAACTCACACCTCCCCACTGCATCCAGGACACGACTCTGCTGCTCACATTTACATGACATGACATGAGAATTGTAGGAGTGTCAGGTAAAAACTAATTAATTACATCTCATTTGCAGATGTGTCACAAAGATAAACATCTGAGAGATTAGACAGTGATACTGCAACCTTACTTCACAAATTCCTTAGAACTAGACTTCAGACCTTTTAATTCATCATAGTTTCTTTTCCAAGTAGTAGTATTAACACAACCTAGACTATCAAACTACATACACTGTACCAGAAGGCCACATTTACCACAACCGTTCACTTAGCATCACTACAACACAGTAGAAATGGCTATTAATCTGTTCATTAACATTATGAACATGATCAACTCACTGCACCTCCCTACAGGAAGTAGAGGATTTTTCTGTTGAATTGTTTTTTTAGAACACATAGAAAAGTAAAAAAAATACTAAACACTTCGGTCAGGCACAGCAGAGTCAATGCTGGAGACTGTAGTATACAGGCAATTGCATCTGACATTATCATAAATTAAACTGTGTGTTAAATCTTTCCTCAAAAATTACTTCTTCCTTCCTGAGCCAGTATTTTCTCACAGTCTGTACTGTTGCACTCTCAAGACTGAGTTTACAACATTAAAAACAAATCAGCTATTTAAACAGGAAAATGCCTGCTAAATTCTAAACACCCTCTAAAAACATGTACAAAGACACTTCACGCTTCTGATTTCTTCAATTATCTCCTTTTGTAAAGGAAAACAATATTTTTATTGAGGAAGAATTGTGTATAACTGAAAAACAGATGACTAATGACCATCTAGCACATTTTCATGATTAAAAACAATATATGCTCAAAATCTAAGTCTTGGAAACACGGGTCATTGCTATGATTTTAACAGTACAAAGATTTCATCCTTTATGTTGGTGCCAAAAGTTCTGCTAACTTCAGAAATTATAGTAACACCTGTGCATGGCAGAGGCCACAGAACTGTGTCTCATTATCCCTTTATTATGCTTAATAACCTGCTTTTGATTAATCATCTCATGTTGGGCCAAACTGCATCTTCCAAAGAATCATTGTCTTCAGAATTCAGATGATAAAAGGAATGGAGAACCAATTGGCTGCTAATTAATATACTTGCAAATAATTACCTTCACTTTGGTAGGCTTTATTTTCAGCCATGACCCATGTAATATGATTGCTAATTTTATATTATCTCTCATATCCAGTTTTTGTGTTCTGTGAAGGTATTTAAACTATCTCCTTTTTAAGTTTAACAATTAATCTCTTACTGCAAGGGATTTTTACAGCTTTGGAATCATGCACCTGTTCTATAAACCTGTTACAATTTCGCAGTACTTTTTCTGAAGAGCACACATCAGATGTGATTCTATGCTTTTTTTTATTGCGGTCCCACCAGAACCACATTAAGCGTTAAGTTCCACCACTTACTCCTATTCATCAGTCCCCTCTTTGTGCTTCCAAGGTTGGCACTTTTTTTGCCATTGCTTTAAATGAATAATATGATAAGCTCCTTGCCCAGTATGACCAACAGACTTAGAGTCACCATTTCTTAGGATATAGTGCTCCATTCTGTAGCTATGGGCTACATCTTCCCTCTAAAATCTGTAAATTTATTTCTCAATACAATCACATTTATTTTATTTGAATGGGTGCATCTTAGCATGTGAACACAACTCCTCCTTGACTGCCTTTGTCATTATTAGCAATTCCTCCTAACTTTGTCACATGTGTAAATATATCATTAAGGATATGTATTTACCTTTCTAAATACTGCTACTCCATTAGCATTCCTCCAGTTTCTTTCCACTTCTTCAGCACGCTACAAGATGTTTTCAAAATTAACAGTACCAAGCTATACAACCCCTTGACCAGAGAGCTTTTGTAGGACAAGTTAGGTGGCTTTGCATTATTCAAAGTATTCACCTAACAAAAGGCCTACCTGTGAACATTTCTGTTTGATCCTGTTGATCTTAAATTCCACATCGATTATCATGGCTAAGTTCCTTCAAACACTTCTTCAAAACTTTTAAGATACAGTGACTCCTAGCTATTTCTTCTTTTCATCCCCCTACCCTTTTCCTGTATTTTGCTTTGTATAGCCACTAAAGGTCTTAAACTGCTGGAGATCAAAAAGCCTTTTAAGTTTTTACATGCTTTGTTTGGTAAAGCGTGTGTTAAGGACTTTCCTAGAATTGAACCAGTTTTATGGGTTTCATCTTACCTCAGAATTCAGGACTCCTAATATTGATAGTCTAATATTTTTTTACCATTTCTCTCCTCTGACTCCTCTTTACCTCCAACATTGTTCTCCAGTGAGCAGTATTGTCAGGTTTCCCACTGCTATGAAAGGGCTGAATGCCACATTGGACTGACAGGTCCTTTCGAAGAGGAGCTCCAGAAACTGCCTATTCTTTTCTAACCATTTGAATTCTAATGAGCTCTTACATTATAAAACAGGCAAGATGTGATTCCCTTTAAAGCTCATTTATATTATTTTTGAGCATACAGTTTGGTGCTCTTGGTGCCTTCATCTTCTCCTTCTAAAAATGTCAATCCTTTTTCTCTCCTGTTACACTCATCTTTGGGTGCCAAGGAGTGCCAGAACAGATGAAGGACATGAGGGTTCTCAGTGTAAAAGCAATAAGCCTGTATGACATCTCACAAGTCTTTGTCAACACTCCAGCCATCAGCTCTTCACCTTTTCTTCTTCATATTTGTGGAAAGGCTCTGAGTGCCTTCAGTTTGGCCATCTTTCTAGAGCTGCCATCAAGCTGCTTCTACGATTCATCTCCCCATCCTACGCAAATAGGTGTAAGATCCAATTTTATTCTCAAGAGAGTTAAAACTTGTTTCACATTCTCACCACCTTTCGCATACTATTTAAATTTTTTGACTGCTCCGATCCTTTTAAACTGTCATATAAATTATCTTCTTGTTTCACTGATCTAATCACAACACTCATCCAAGCCTTTGAGCTTTCACTGTGCCTTTGCAACAGATACCTGTGCTTTGCCTTTAGGGCTGTTCGTGGTTCAGACCAGCCCTATCTAGAAAATTAGATAGCTTAGGCTGATCCTAACAATTTACTGCTGTGTCTAGCTGGTGCTACTTACCATTCAGTTTCTAACGCAAATCTCTTTTCTCCCTCCCCACTTCCCTGCCTCTTGACACCCTTTCTCATAATGTCAAATCCCCACAAAGTAAGTGAGTAGCTGTATAGACTAAGACCTACCTCATCCAGCTTTTCTCTGGCAAATATGTAACCCTCAAGTCCTTCTCCCTTT